CGACAACGACCAAAAGATGAGAGGATTTAAGACAAGACGAAGAAAAGTCAGGCACCACAATTGAACACAAGAAACTAGGGGCGATGATGACATGTTAGACATGACAAGACCAAAAAGTTCTTCTAAATTATTTTAACTTAATGAAAGACAAGTCATAGGTCAAATTGGAAAAAATCCCCTATAGGAAAAAAAATTAGTTTATTTAGCAAAAGTGACACTGTTTCGGCAAGTTTGTTGTCTTTAAGTGTCTCATATTTACTTTTTATAGAAATTGTTTTGTGTCCAATGAATACGAGACACAGTCTTCACAACAGCAAAACATTAAATTGTTCTAATGATAGGTTTGGGGGTTTTTTGTGTTGCTGCACATTAACAATCACACAGACACCCCCTTGAAGACACTCTACATTTGTGCTACAGTACATTAACAATCACACAGCACACTCCACGTTTGTGCTACAGTGACAAGGGTTCCACTCAAAGCTATGATTCCACCTCCACTTTTGTAAGAGTGTGGCCAAATTACTTGACCATGTTAATTTTCATTCTGATTATTTTTGTCCACATTAATATCCTGTACTCTACTTATTCTGTTACGAATTCTGCCCCTCTCTCCTCCCATGAAAGAAGGCAGATCCTGTACAGCTGGAAAAAAAAACTGTGACGATTTAAATAATTTAAAGTTTAAAGTATTTACATTTACTTCTTACATTCTGTGAAATTGACAAACTGTACGTGTGACATCAGTCACCCTTCACAGCTGAATCTGTTCGGCATCCATGAGGTCAAAGTCTCTCATTCAGGTTCAGGTTAGCTTTATTTACATAAACAACAAGGTTCATCAACAATCTGTGATAAATGTCTGTCCCGCCATGGTTACACTTAGCCTGAACATGAAGTTCAGATTAATCTCAGTCTAAGCTTAGCCTGAACGGTAACCTGGGGACGGAGTCATGGCAAGAAGCAGTACGAGCACAGATGGAATATCTTCAGCAGGTAACCAGAAGGTGCTAAAGAACCCAGAGGTCTGCACTCACACGAAGAGGATTGTTCCCCTAGCATTAGCCATGACACGAGTGAACTGAGTTTTACAGTTGGCCACCTGACGACATCCTGATCTCATCTGGACCAGCAGGGCCACATAAACTCAAGAGTCCAGAGTGGCATTGTGTACCTCTTGATTTTTGGTACTCATATCCTGTGCAGGTCATCCCGAGAGTCACGACGGGGAGGGCCATGTTTAAACCAATGAAATAATGACCAGTGCTTCCTTTTCTTCTTTTTCCTTTCTTCCTCTTCTTCCTCCTCCTCATCTTCCTCTTCATCATCATCCTCATCTTCTTCATCATCCTCTTCTTCATCCTCTTCCTCCTTTCGCATTGCCATGGGTGCTCGCAATTTCAAAGACTCTGTGTGGCTGTCATAGCTAACATTATACGCAGAGTTTTCTGAGTCAAAGTCAGAGTCCGAATCACTACACTGGTTTCCTGTTGGCGTCCAGATCTTCAAGCTGTCAAAGCTTCTGATCAGGGTCATGATGTCACTTTTGAGTTCAATCATTCTCTTGTCGATGTTTGGACCTCTTTGAGGGCGGGTTTTAGGCTCCCCCCTATCATGTTTCCCTGCTTTCAATTTATTATTTTCTGTCTGGTAAGTCCTACTTCCTGTCAACACACTGCTGACCCTTCTGGCGTTAGGCTCTTCTTTATCAAGTTTTACAGCCTTTATTTTGGTCTTTTGCATCTGGTTACCCTTGATTCCTGTCACAACTCTGTTGCTTTCATGATCACAGCTTTTAGTCTGCTCCCTTTCATGTTTCAAAGCTTTTATTTTGGTGTTCTGTGTTCGGCTACTCTTATTTCCTGTTGCCTCACTGCTGCTCCATCTCATGAGAGACTGGTCCTCTTCCTGTTTTAATTTATGCTTTGGACTCTTACTTCTTGTTGCCACATTATCACATTTGCTGATAAATGCTTCCACTCGATAGCCTTGACTGTCAAAGGATATAGGCTCCTCCCTCTCCCTTTCAGTCTTTTTTTTGGCAGTTTTGGACTTACTTCCTGTTGGTATATTGTGGCTTTTACTATCACAGTGTTTAGGCTCCTCCTCCTCATATTTCTGGGCTTTTCTTTTAGTTGTGTTCATCTGATCGTGCCTACTCCCATTAGGCAATTTGTAGTTTTCATTTTTGCAGGTTTTAGACTCATCCCTGTCATTTTTCTCAGCCTTTGTTTTAGTGGTGTGCTTTTGATTGGATCGACTGTAGCTTTCATTATCACAGGGTCTGCGGTCTTCCCTCTTTACTTTTGCAGTTTGCCTCTTACTTCCTGTTGGCGCGCCATGGCTTCCAGTATTGCTTGCTTTAAGTGCTGCCATCTCACGTTTGTCAGGTTGTATTTTGGAACCTAGAATTTGGCCATTACTACCCACTATACCACTAATCCATTTGACTCGAGTTTTGGGATCCTCCCTCTCATATTTCTCAGCTTTCATTTTGATATTTACTATCTGGCTGTGCTTACTTCCTGTTGGTGCTGCGTAACCGTCCCTATCAAAATGTTTAGTCTCTTCCTTCTTATATTTTGTGACTTTTATTCTTGCACTTGATGTCTGGTTGTGGTTACTTCCTGACAACCCCAAAGGAATTACTGTAGTACAGCTTTTTGGCTGCATCCTCTCATGTTTTAAGGCTTTTACTCTGGCACCCAGCATTGGACTGCTGCTATTTCCTATAGTCCTGTTGCCAATCCATGTCATTTTGTGTTTATGCTCCTCCCACTTGTTTTTCTCTGCTCTTATCCCATCATTTGGCATTTGGTGGATCTGTCGTCTTGTCAACTCCTTGTTAGGGTCACAGGTTTTTGGCTCTTCCTGCCTGTGCTTCACAGCTTTTACTTTGGTGGTTTTAGGCCCATCACCCTCTTGTTCTGCAGCTTTTATTTTTCCTGTCTGGGTGCTCTTATTTCCTGTCCTTAAAATGTAACCCCATCTATCCCCTGCTTCAGTCTGGGTGCACTTACTTCCTGCCCCCAGACTGAAGCTTGATCTGTCTTTGCTTTCTGTCTGGGTGCTCTTAGTTCCAGTGTTAACCCTGAGGCAGTATCTATCATCGGATTTGGTGCTCCTACTTCCCAAACTAGGTTTCCATCTCTCGGTAGTTCCTATCTGAGTAATCATACCTTCTGTAGCCTTGCTTCCTGTTACTCTGGTTCGTGCATGAGGTGATAAGAAATAATGTAGCACTGGAGTAGTAAGGTGGCTCCTGTTGTCGCCGTTTTCTGTCCCAATTTCTGTCTGGGTGCTAATACTTTCCACTACTTCTGTCTGAGTCGTTTTTTGTGTTACCTCGTATTCTGTCTGGGTGATCACACTTTTTGTATCCTCACATTTGGTTTGGGTGCTCTTACTTCCCATTACCTCAGTTTCTGTTTGGGTCACATTTTCTTTAACCTTGATGTCTGTCTGGGTGTTTTTACTTTTGGTCACCTCAGTGTCTGTCTGGGTACTAATATTTTCTGTCCACTCAAGTTCCGTCTGCGTGTTAATACTCTCCCTCGCTTCTACTTCCGTCTGAGTACTTTGATTTTCTGTCTGTGTACTTTCTTCTTCCTCCACTTCTGTCTGGGTACTATTATTTTCTGTAGCCTCAACTTCTGTCTGAGTACTATTGTGTTCTGTTGCCTCAACTTCCGTCTGGGAACTACTATTTTCTGTCACCTCTATTTCAGTCTGTGTGATTTTACTTTCTGCTGCTTCATTTTCTGTCTGAGTACTATTGTTTTCCAGGGCTTCGGTGTCTGTCTGGGTACAATTATTTTCTGTCACCTCATTTTCAGTCTGGGTGATTTTACTTTCTGCTGCTTCATACTCTGTCTGAGTACTATTGTTTTCCAAGGCTTCGGTGTCTGTCTGGGTACAATTATTTTCTGTCACCTCATTTTCAGTCTGAGTGTTAACACTTTCTGTAGCTTCATCTTCTGTCTGGGTAGTATTATTCTCTAAAGCTTCAACCTCCGTCTGGGTACCACTATTTTCTGTCGCTTCATCTTCCGTCTGGGTACTATTATTTTCTAAAACTCCAAACTCCGTCTGGGTACCACTATGTTCCGTCACTTCATCATCCACCTGGGTACTACTATCTTTTGTCACTTCCGTCTCCGTCTGGGTGCCATTACTTTCTAAAGCTTCAACCTCTGTTTGGGTACTGTTATTTTCTGTTGCCTCTTGTTCAGTCTGAGTATTAATACTTTCTGTTCCCTCGATTTCTGTTTGGGTACTGTTACTGTCTTTTGCCTCAACATCAGTCTGGGTACCATTATCTTCTGTTGCTTCATTTTCAGTCAGTATGTTTATACTTTCTATCACCTCAACTTCGGTCTGGGTAAATATACATTGTGTTGCTTCACCTTCTGTCTGGGTACTATTATCTCCTGATGCTTCAACCTCGGTCTGGGTACTGTTATTTTCTGTTGCTTCTTGTTCAGTCTGAGTGTTTATACTTTCTGTTGCCTCAAATTGTGTTTGGGTACTGTTACTCTCTTTTTCCTCAACATCAGTCTGGGTACCATTATCTTCTGTTGCTTCATTTTCAGTCAGTATGTTTATATTTTCTGTCACCTCAACTTCGGTCTGGGTAAATATACATTGTGTTGCTTCACCCTCTGTCTGGGTACTAATATTTTCTGCTGCTTCGATTTCAGTCTGAGTGTTTATACTTTCGGTTGCTTCAGTCTCTGTCTGGGTACCATTATTTTCTGTTGCTTCGATTTCAGTCTGGGTGTTAATACTCTTTGTCGTGTCAACTTCTGTCTGGGTACTACTATTTTCTGTTGCCTCAATTTCAGTCTGGGTGTTTATACTTTCGGTCACTCCAGCCTCTGTCTGAGTACTATTGTTTTCTGTTGCCTCAATATCTGTCCTGGTGTTTATACTTTCCGTTGATTCAACTTCTGTCTGTGTACTAGTATTTTCTGTTGCATCAGTATCTGTCTGGGTACAAATATCTTCTGAAACCTCAATTTCAGTCTGGGTGTTTATACTTTCGGTCGTTTCAGCCTCTGTCTGAGTACTGTTGTTTTCTGTTGTCTCAATATCTGTCCTGGTGTTTGTACCTTCCGTTGCTTCAACCTCTGTCTGGGTTGCATTATTTTCCGTTGCTTCAATTTCAGTCTGGGTGGTATTATTTTCTGTTGCCTCAGTATCTGTCTGGGTACAAATATCTTCTGACACCTCGATTTCAGTCTGGGTGTTTATACTTTCGGTCACTTCAGCCTCTGTCTGAGTACAATTGTTTTCTGTTGCCTCAATATCTGTCTGGGTGTTTATACTTTCTGTTGCCTCATTGTCTGTCTGGGTACTATTACTTTCTGCTGTCTCATCTTCCATCTGGGTATTTATACTTTCTGGTACTATACTTTCTGTCTGGCTGTTGATACTCTCTGTTTCCTCGATTTCAGTTTTGGTACTGTTACTTTCTGTTGCATCAACGTCTGCCTGAGTACATATGGTTTCCATACCCTCAATTTCTTCCTGGTTACTGATTCTTTGATTTTCCAAATGGTGACTCCATTCGGAATTGGCTTCGGACTCTCCATTGTAATCTGTTTCAGTTTTTTGTGTTTGATTTATCACAAGTTCTTCAGTTTGACCCCTCAACCCGTCATTTACATCAGTGTTTTGTGTATCGTTGCTGCTGCTTTGTACATTGTCACTGGATCCAGGCTTCTCATCCTCTTGCTCCTCCTTGTTGTCATTGTCCTTTGCTGTTGAATTCTCAAAATCCATGCGCTGACTGCTCTCACTGCTTGTGTTGCAGGCATCAGTGTTGTCACAACTGTCTGACATCACTTTTAGTAGATCTCAGCAGATCGATCATGTGACTTGTAACTGTCTACATGAATGCAGGATTTTTATTTTTTAGAACAGCTTTAATCAAATGCACCTCAGTCACCTCACAAAGATTAAAGGATCTTCAAAGCCTGTAATGAGGTCACCGGTGGTGATGTAACTGAATGTTATTGTTAATGAATAGTGAGTTCTTTTGAATATTTATGTAGTTTTAGGTTGTTTATTTTTAGTTATGTCTAATGAGCAACAGATTGACAGTAATGTAAAATGATCAGGAATAAGGAAATTTAGTTTTTAAAGAACATTTCTTTCGTTTAAAAAGATCTGAATAAACAGTTGAACATATATTGTCCTATATTTCAGAATTAAGACGAGACAGTGGACAGCTGCTTGCCTTTGTATATGACTAACGTTTAAATGTTAGTCAGGTGAAAATTTAAATAAATCAATCCTCACCTCAGTGAATTTGTCCTTTCATATACAGTTTTAGACAGGAAACGTAAATTTTCAGACACATTTTTGTTTCGTCCGGCAACGGACATGACGCAAACCTCTGTCAACGTTTGAAGACAGCGGGTCTTCCGCTTTCTGTGACGTCAGAATCAAACAGACAAGATGGCGGCGGCGTTGGAGCGCAGCATGATGGAGGTCTGCGGGTTTGAGAGGGAAAGCGTTCAGCGATTCAAGGACGTATCCGTGGACATGGGTAAGGAGGTTGTCGCCATCCACATCCCTCTCTCTCTCACTTACTGTCGCCACCTCACATAAAAACCCACACGTACACTCCCGGTGACTATGCTAACACGGCTAACGCTGCCGCCACTTCAATCACGTGATCGATCCTGCGCCGTCAGTTCAAAGAGAGGAGGCGCTTGTAGCCAAAACATTTTCGAACATGTAGTAGACGTTTTGACAACCATTTGTTGTAAAACAGACATTTTAATGGTTCTATATTGTCTTTCATTACTGAAATAACGGTGTAACACAGCGCTGTGTAGCGGGCTTCCCGAAAATGAAGTTGTGTCGTGTGTCTCTTTTTTAGTTTGAACTAAATAACTATTATTTTAGATATCTGCCCAGAGAAGTGGAATGGCGGGTTTGGATTTGGGTTAACGTTTCAGGGTTTAGGAGTTGGGGCAATAATATATCACCTCGCATCTCTGCTATTTACCTTAAACACTATTGACTATTTATCATCTCAGCTGTAATATCTCAAGTTATTCTGCAAACTGGACAGTATAATATATAGTAATTAATTAAGAAGTCTTAAGAAACGGCAGGCTGATATCCTTATTTCTATAGCACTATGCTATACTTCTTTTATACTACTTTACTGCTGTCAACACAGTAAATGTCTCCATTGTGGGACATATGAAGGACTTCTTGATCTTAAACTGGTAGAGTCTTTATGTTGTCTTCTCGTATAAACTGCTACCACTACTGTTTTTTCTGTGGAACCGATCTTTGTCTTGATTTTCTGTCCACTCCTGGTTTTCCTCACACAGGGATTTCTCCTCTTCCTGGGGGCCTTAGGTTTCCTGACAGCGCTGGAGCATTTCACTATGAAGAAAGTGCTAAACTACAGTCGATCACCAGCAACAGATTCATACACTGGTGAGAAACCAACACACAGACACAGATGAGTGACGTGACCCTTATTGTTGTTTTTAAAGACTGGACTTTTCAGCAGCTCAGTAATTTGTTCTACGTATTGTCTCTGTTGTGACAAACTGTTAATCTGCTGAATTGTTTGGTTAAATTTGTCCTGATATTCATGATATGTTGGGGTCTGTGTTTGGTTCCTGAAACTCCCAGGAGGTGTTTTAAAAAAAATGTCTTTGAGAAATGTTCAGGGCTGACCCAGGGTCTCCTCCATTCCTCAGGTCCACTTCAGGGGACACCCTGCAGCTACTTGAACAGTCTCTGGACCTGAACCTGCTCAACAATGCTGTCAGAGTCCGCTTCACCAACTGCACCCTTCTGCCTGGCGGCGTGACCATCTACGAGACCTTGAACTATGTGATCATCCTCATCTGCACCAATCGCAGCATCCACAGGATGGTGCTGCCTCATCCCACACGCATGTACCGCAGTGTAAGTACCAGATCTTAGTTGTTTTTGGCTGGGACTTCTGAGTGGAGTCCTTTAAGTTCTTTACCTGAAACCAGAGTCTCAACTATTTCTCTTACTCCCCCTGCAGGAAGTGCTGACAGAAGTACAGCTTCAGTCCATCTTCACTGACATAGGGAAGTTGAGTCTGCAGGACTCGGCCCACAGCGCCATCATCCCTGTCTCAGCAGGACAAACAGGAACTCCAGCCACATCAACCTCCTGGATAAGTCAAAATGGACATGCTCACTATGCCCTGGCTTCACCAGCAGGGGGCCTCATTGTACTGACTCTGCCACCCCATGATGCACCAGGTAATGCACACCAACACACACACTAACGAAGGTTAATGCAGCAGCAGCAGGGTGAAAAGATCTGAGGTGTGTGTGTGGTTGTGGCACCCTCTGCAGGCAGGCTGGTGGTGGTGGAGCTGAAGAGAAGTTCCATGATGAGGAAGATCTCCGGCTGGATTCCATCAGCAATTCGTGGCGAGCAAAATGCGTCTGACCTGGTGGTGGGGCTGGCCGTCCACGAGCTGGAGGACGACTCTTTCATCTTCTCATTATGTCAGGATCACAGGCTGCGGACGTGGTCTCTCAGGGTGAGACCTGCCTCACACCTGTGGGATTTATTCCACCACAGATTCACACTGACACACTAACAAACGTGTTCCGGTCTTTGTCCAGGATCAGGTCTGTCTCCTGGAGCTGGACATGTTGGATTTCATGCCAGCCATTAAAGGTGCGTCACGGATGTCTGGTCAAGGTCATCGCCTCCGCTTGTGCTTCTCCAATACCACGGGGCTGTGCGTGTGTGTTTACCTGTCCACACCTCAGAGTGGACAGTTCACCGTCCTGCAGCTGGTTGCTGCTGAAAACAACCGCTACAGCCTGGAGCACGTGTCTACGCTCTTTACTACACAGGTAATCAATCGACCACAGTCTGTGGATCCATGTGCCCCGGACGTGTGTATCCCTGCCCAGTCCTTCCACCCTGTCACTAACAACGTCACTTCCTGTCTGCCTCATCAGGAGACCATTGTGGATTTCCAACTGACAGCCACGGACATCTGGGCTCTCTGGGTGGACCAGTCCAATGCTGCTGTTGTCAAATACATCAACTTTGAACAGTACGTGGGTCACATGACCCAGAGACTGACATCTGATTTGGTGATTTATGTGACTGTGTTGGATTTAATGTGTGTTTTTTTTTTTTTTTGCAGCAACAGTGCAGCTCAGTGGAACCAGGTGTTTGTTCAACCTCCACCTGACGAGGAGGTTCATGTGGGCGTGGACCAAGACCCCAGAGTAAGACCCCACAGTACGCAAGGGCACACAGTTAACACACAAACACACTTGGCTGTAACTGTACTGTGTGTGTGTGTGTGTTCATCTCAGGAGACCTACCTGGATCTCCTCTTTTCTCCTGTGAGGTTCTCCGCTGCAGCCATTCTGAAGGCTCTGCAGGTGAGAACACAACATCATCATGGCTTTTGATGTTGGTGCAATGACTGCACTGACGATGATGTGTGTTTGCTTCAGATCTACCGGCATGGCTCTGAACGACTCTCTGATGTATCATGGGAGAATCTGAAGAAGGAAGTAACGGTATCTGTTGAGATGGAGGTAAGACCTGGACCTGACCCGTCCCTCAGTCTTGAAGAACCGCACGCTGACGTCTGTTCCTGACTCTGTTTTTTCTTCCTCATCTCAGCTGCAGAGCAGTGTCACAGAATTTGAGTTCTCACAGGAGGAGTACCGCCAGCTACAGGTGGAGTTCTGGTCCAAGTTCTACTCGGTGTGTCTTCAGTACCAAGAGTCTCTGTCCACGCCGCTGGGTCTAAGCATCAGCAGCCATACAGGCCTCGTCTGTCTGCTCAAGAAGGTCAGCACTTTTGTCTTCTTAATAAACTGTGGGGAGTGATTTTGACTGATGTTCAGTTGTTCGGGCCACAGTGATTGCAAGAGAATCCATTCATTTTAATTTACTTTCTTCATTTAAAAATAATCCGTCAATATTTACAAATAATAAACCCTTTGGAGTGCCATACAAACAGGATAAAGTCTTAAATGTGTTTTATTTTGAAAATTCACTATGCCCTAAAAATAAGTCAATATCCAGGGGCTTCATAGATGTATAAACAGGATGGAATGAGGTTGAAATGACAACCATTCATCTCTATGGAGTTTACTATCCTAGTGTCCAGATTTTTATAGATCAAGGGTCGGGAGTAAACGCGTTGTATTAGTAGGGGACGTGGCCAAAGAGATGGAGAGATGCTGGAGGTCGGCAGTACAGTACAAAAATGTTGGGGGCTGCTGGTCTAGTGGACTAGAGTGGCCCTGTGAACTTAGGATGTCCAGGATTCTCTTTTTTTTTTCTTTTTTTTTTTTTAAATCCAGGCCATGTCCTCTGAACTTCTGATATTTGGCTAGCCACTCTTCTGTTGTCTATCCCTGCTAAGTTTGTTGGTTTTGTTCAGGGTCTGGTGTCGTTCCTCCTGCCGTGTTTTGCCGTGGACCATTTGTACCTCTGTGGAGACGAGAGTCTTTTTTCCGAGGATGAGACGACGGTCACTGAAGGTAAGTCAAAGCTGGATGATGCAGCTTGTCCAACCAATCATACCCCGGACCTCAAACCTCTTTGGACTGTCTGTGTGTCCAGAACCTGAGCTGGCCCGAGATGTTCTGCAGCTGGTCCGGTGTCTGCGTATGGTCAGTGGCGCCATCTCTGGTTCAGCTGCTTATGAGATGGAACAAGTTCTGGAACATCTGGAGCCTCCAGGTCAAGCAGCTGAAGTGGTTTTAGAGAACCTGCTCTCTGACAGGTCTGTTTTTGCTTCATCCCATAAATCAATGTCCTTTAGCGGTGATGTCACACGTGATCTAACCAATTAAACTGGTGAGCAGTGACACGATGGAGGATGTTCAGAACAAACTGCAAGACATCAGGAACCCAATGGCGGCGATGATGGTATTGCAGAGGGAACTGGACCTGGAGACAGATTCTGACGTCACAGAAAGAGTTTTCACACAGGGTAAGCATGAAGTGGCTTCACTTCCTCCAGTTGTGGACGCTGAGTTCCTGGACCTCACGTGTGTCTGTGCTTCTCCAGGAGGATTGAACCTCAACACCAGAATCGGTTTGTCCCAGCTCTACAGCAGCAGCTTGTCCGTGTCCCTGGTCTGCCAGGCCGTTGCTCACGTGGCCATGACCAGAACTTTGCTCTGCCGAGACCTTCTGATCCTACAGAAGCTCTACCTGCGCTGTGGAGACAATGTACCGTCACGACACAACACAAACAAACAAAAGACACACCCAAAGACTCCTCAGGTGTTGGAGTAACTGTCTGTGTGTTGGGGGGTTCTCAGGTATTTCTTGGGGGTGGGGCCCACCTGCTGCAGCTTCAGCAAGATCTGATTCCTCGCAGTGCTCAGCTCCTCCTGTCTTACCATGTTCTACGACATGTGAGTCAGAGCCTGGTCTCCTCCATCCCCGTGGACATCCTGTAAGTGTGTGTGGGTTGGTGTGTGTTCTACCAACGATTCTACTGTTGTGTTTCTTAATTACCTACCCTGTTTTGGTTCCAGCGATGCTAACCTGCAGCATCTCAGCGTGTTGGAGCTCAGTGACACACCATCTCCATCCACCAACATCTCAGGTCAGGGGTCTCCTAGGGTGAGGTCACATCACTGTTACTCCTGTTTCTTACATACGTGTGTGTGTGTGTCTAGTTCTAAGTCCTCAGACCATCCTAGAATTGTTCTACCAGACGGTGGCTCGGAAGCTGATCCTGAGTCAGATGGACTGTGATCAGCTGGTCTGGAGTCACATGATCTCCAGTGTGGTCCACCTTCTCGCTCAGCAGCTGTATCCTTCAAAGAACCGTTCCTGGTACTGCTGATATTTTTGTACCTGGTCCAATGACAGACCTTGACTCTTGGTCTTCAGGTGGCCCAGTAACCCTGGGTTCCAGTTCCCTGAGTGTCTGATGACCAACTGTCAGTACTCACAGCTCCAGGTCAGTTCACGGTTGAGTGTGATGTCATTACCGCCTGGATTAGCTGGCCTTAGCTTAACTTCCTGTCTCCTCAGGAGTACGTGCGTCTCATCGCCCCCTGGTGTCAGGTCAACATTGGTTCCTGTCACTTCATGCTGGGTCAGTGCTACCTGGCGAATGGGGAGGGACAGAAGGTATGTGTGTGCCTTTACAGACTAGTGAACACAGTGTGAGTAAAAGATAATGTCTCACAGGAAGTGGCTATAGATGATGATGATGTCAGACAGGAAGTGATTGTCCTGTTTTTTTCCTTAAGGCACTGCAGTGTTTCCAGGAGGCAGCAGCTGAAGTGGAGAAGGAGGAGTTTCTGATGAAATTGGCAGGAGTTGAGGATGAGGATGGCGCCACCTCAGCCAGGTTACAGTACTACAACAAGGTAAAGACTCTAATTATCTAATGACAGACCAGGTGCTGGTGCAGTATCTAATCAACTAAAGGATCTGGTGTAGTAACCGATCAGTTACTGAACTGTTTAGTAACCATTACCTAATCGGTTACTTTTCTGTGCTTGATCTGGTACTGTTTCTGGTATTTGTAGTTCTGTTCCATTCACTTTTCTGGTTCTGGTACAGTCATTAACTTCTGGGTTGGTGTCGTCAGGTTCTTCGTCTGTTGGAGGACGTTGGTCAACCAGAACTCGTCATCAGTTTATCCTCTCTTGCAATAAAAGAGGCTGAAAATGACATAAATAGCCAGGTGAGATCATGTGACAGGAAAGGCAGTAATGTATGTATGAACACAGAAATAGAGTGTGTGTGTACTGTGTCCCTAGGCGGCGCTGTGGACAAGGATTTTCAAACACCACTTGGATCTTGGACACAACAGTGAAGCCTACGAAGCTTTGATCCAGAACCCAGAAAGCAGCATGTTAGTACACACACACACACACTCTTCCTCTCTCTGTCCGGCTCTGTGTGATGCGGTCACTCAGCAGTGTGATGTCATCACAGGCAGCTGGACTGTCTCCGTCAGCTAGTCGTGGTTCTCTGTGAACGCTCCCAGCTCCAGGACCTGGTCCAGTTCTCCTACGTGAATCTTCATGATGAGGTGAGACCCTGATGTCCTACTTTATAACTGTCACCTCAACCATTCACCTCTTGACATCAACAGCCATGTGGTTATGACATCATCAGGTCGTTGGCATCATTGAGTCTCGGGCCAGAGGTTTGGACCTCCTGACGCACAACTACTACGAGCTGCTGTACGCATTTCACATCAACAGACACAACTACAGGAAAGGTAACCGTGCTGGACTTCTTCTGGACCAGAACTGATGCTGTACCAGACCAGGACTGTGGACTGGTGCTCTCACTTGGATAACTTACCGTCTCTCTCTCTCACTCGCTCTTTCAGCGGCCTCAGTCATGTGTGAGCTTTCTCTACGTCTGACCCGTGAGGTCCGGTCCGTGGCTTCTCTACAGAAACAGGTCAACTGTTTCCTGTCGGCTCTGACTTGTCTCCGTCTGATCCGACCTGAGTTTTCCTGGATTGTTCAGCCCGTCGGTGGAGCCACGGTAAGGACTAACTGCGTCACACGACTGTCATATGACCGCTGTTATTGTACAGCTGTTGCGACCCATTAATCACATGATCAGCTCAGAGCGTTACCTCACAGGAACCAGTTTGTCTTCATCAAATCCTTCACCTGTCTGTGTGCAGTATGAACGTGCAGGAACATCTCCAAAAAGAAACAGTGACGGAGAGTTCCCTCCTGAACCAGGTAGTACACACACACACACACACACAAGTCTGCACTGCCCCCTGCTGGCCCCCTAATGTTACTTTTCTTAGTGAAAGGTCAGGTTGCTGTCCTGGAGATCAAGGACCTGGAGAAACTCTACTTCCTCTCCCGTAGCCGCCTCACACTGGCCAGACACCATCCACCCTCAGCTGCAATCGCAGGTCACAAAACTACACAAATAGTACAGAAATATACTGCTGTCAGACACGTGGTACACAGTTGTCACACTGCCCTGTTTGTGTGTCAACAGGAAGTGCCTCAGCACAGGAAATGGTCTCCTTATTGGTCCAGTCTGGACTTTTTGACTCAGCTCTGTCTCTGTGTCAAACCTTTGACCTGGACCTTGACCCTGTCTTTGAGGGTCTGACCTTCAAGTAAGATTTTGTCCACTGCACCGTCTCTCTGAACGAGACTTTCAGATTCAGAAATTGACCATGTGGCTGTGTTTGGTGTTTTCAGGTGTATCAGACTTCAGTTTGGGGGAGAGGAGTGTCAAAGTGAAGGCTGGAGCTGGTTGGCTGATAATCAGCTATCGCTAGTCGTTAACACTAAAGAGTCGAGGTCAGTTGATGTGGCCGACCGCCTGTCCGTCTGTCCCACCTCTCCGTTCGTACGTGACATGTTTCTGAAACGGTTCCTGTGTCTCATGTTCTCAGTGCTGCAGATGAGGCCTGGCGTCTGTTGTCTTCGTATCTGGACAGGTTTCCGTCATCTAATGGTCGGTTCCATCGCTGCGTCATTAACAAGCTTTTGTCTCACGGTGTCCCTCTTCCTGATTGGCTGGTGACATCCTACAAGGTGAGTGGTCACTGTAAAACCCGCAGAAAATGTATAGTTGAAAGGACACTTGTGGACGACTGACCAGTTCCTACCATGCTCTGCTTCTTGTAGTCCGTAGATGGAGCGTCTCTGCTTCGTCTCTACCTGAACTTTGACCTGCTCGATGATGCAGCTGACCTGGTCCTGGAGTATGTGGATGCTGTTCTGGGACGAGGCCATGCCTACTTTGGAATAGAGGTAATGGGGTCATGTGACCTGACAATAATTTTTTTTCTTGTGCCTGATGTCACTGACATGATCACTGTTTTCCCTGGTAGCGCCCCCTGTCTGCGACATCTACGTCTTCATCCTCGTGGCTTCCTTACACCTCCATTGATCAGCTGATGCAGACACTGGCCGACACCCAGAGCAGCAGCAGTGTGAGTGTGACCTCACTTCCTGTTTCAGCTGACATCATTTCACTCACACACACACACACCGTGAAACTCTGTGACACTGCTGGTGTTCATCTTTGTTTCCAGGTTTACACCAAGGTCCGAGAGAAGCTGGACCAATACCACCACCTGCTGGAGCAGACGACACGGCACCGGCTCAGCTGTAGATAAAATGAAAACTTTTTTACTCACCATTTGTACACAGGAAAATAACAATAAACATTTTTCAGAATTTTTTTTTTTTTTTTTTACCATGTTCATCTATAAAGTTTGGGTAAAGTGTGTCAGTGTTACTATGGTTACTAGGCCATGACATAGGTCAGCTGTCCATGTAGTTCTGAAGGCACAGGTCCTTCATATTTGAAGCATCGTTGTTTCATGACAGTTTGTGTGCAGCTTGTGTCCACAGGGGGGCAGGGTAGGACCACATTTGGTGGAGATGTTTAAAGGCAAAGACTGATTTCCTGTTTTGCTGCTGCTCTTGATTGTCACACAAAAAGAAATGAAAAAAAAACCCTATGTTGTCATAGCAACAGCGAGCAGCGAAATAATGTGCACTTTATGATGCAATGACACTGGAATTTTCCAAGCAAATGCTTCCCCTCGAGGGGCCTTAGGGGGTATGTACAAAATTCTAACAAATAATTGGCCAGAACTTCAGGGAGAAAAAAAAAAGTAAAATATAGACAATTCTACAGTTCAGCTGCAGACACAGCCACAGTGTCTTAGAACTAGTTCAGCTGCAGACACAGCCACAGTGTTTGGAACTCTGCGTTTTCACCTCTCATTAGGAAAGTAACCGTAGGATATGATTGAACTGCCAATATATTAAACAACAAAAGAATATAAAGAAAGATGGACAGAATCCTTTTCTTACATAAACACAAAAAAGAAGGAATTCAGAGTTGGCTATAACCCGGTTAAAGTCAGTCATGGTCCATGTCGAGTCCAATGCTACCTCAGGATTAAATAATTGAACGTGAGGTTCTGTCAAGTAGTGAAAGGTAGCATGACGTAGCCTTATCTTGGCAATAACAGGCCCAGTTAGTCAAATGTTGTGTAATATACCCCAAGGTTAAACCAAAGTAATTAAATGTTGGTTAAAATAGTTTAAAGTTCACCCACGTAGCCCAAAGTTGCTACTTTAGTATAACCAACAATTAGCTAGTAGTCAAAGTTGTCAAACCGTCGCTACAAAAACAAATGTTTGAGCAGTGAGAGAGGATGGAGAAGAAGCAGCTTTTCTCACACACATGGGAAAATCGTTGTTTTTTTGAAGCCCATGTGTGAAACATGAGGCTGCTTATTATTCTGTAAAAATATACTCCAGTTTTCAATCAACAATCTGACTGTTACTGGAATCTGAAACAGCTTAAATCCAATCCCTTGATAAACAAAAGTTCCCAGAAATGTCTGTGTGCGTGCACGTGTGTGTGTGTGTGTGTGTGTGTCAGAGAGAGACTCAAAGGAGCAGAACATAAGGTTCTTCTGTCAGAGGGCGAGAGACAAAACGGAGGTTGTAAATGTCTGAGTGGGGGTGGGAGTGTCCTCTTAAAAAGGACCAGAGCTTTGGGGACCAGTCCAGAAGCGCAGTTGAAAACAACATCCATGTTCGGAGACGAAGACACTGAGGGACGCGGAGACGTCGCCATGACGAGCGAGAGGTTTTTTCTCCAGCCACGAAGAACAAAGAAGGAGCTGCGGCTGAAACCAGACCAAGTGTGAGTTTAAATAAATTACTTTGACATTTTGACATTAGTTCAGATCAGCTGATCCTGGATCCTGACATCTGACTTGCTCCAACCACAGAAAGAGGTTGCTGAGCGACATTTCAGTACGAGAGACGCTTCAGACGGCCAAGATGTCAGCTCTGCTGCCCCCTGTTGGTACCGATGTGTTTAGGCGCTTCAACTCAACCTCCGCCACGACCCGCCCACAGGCACAGGTACAAATGCTCTCTAGAACTGACAGTAATCCTCCAGGCCGACCCGACTTATCCGTTATGTCCTCACAGGCTGACGAACCCTTGCCCCCCCTGGAGGCCGGGAGACCACTTCCATTTGTTTTTGGAACCCCACCCTCCATGTATCTGAACACGCCTCTTGAAGATTTGGACCCATTCTACCAGAATCAGGTGAGCATTTCAGCTGAACAGTGCAGCTGACATAAAGTCTAAGAACCTGACCTCTGACCTCTGACCCCAGACCTTCATGGTGCTAAGCCGCGGAAACGTCATCCATAGGTTCAATGCTGACTCCTCCCTCTTTCTGCTGCCACCATTAAATTTGATCAGAAGAGCTGCTGTGAGCGCACTCACACACTTATATCCTTCATGATGTCACACAGTGGCTCCTCCCCTTTCTGTAACATACTTTCTTTCTATGTCTGTGGTTTCCTCGTTTGTTTTTTCCTTAAATTCCAACTCTGTTCCAATTCGTCATCCTGATGACTCTCCTGACCAACTGTGTCGTCCTGACGATGAGCGAGCCTCCAGCGTGGACACACACTTTAGAGTAAGACTATGAACAGACACACACACTTTCAGAGTAATGAAGTCATTTTGATGATGTCACTGACGATGTCACAGAGTGGTGATCACATTGATCTTCACCCTTGAAGTCGCGTTGAAAGTTGTTGCCAGAGGATTTTGTGTTGGACGCTTCACTTTCATCAGAGATCCATGGAACTGGTTGGATGTTCTGGTCGTCAGCACCAGGTGATCAACGCTAACTAGTATCCTCACTTACTCTGATCTTCATAAACTCGGTGTTAATCAGTATTAAAAATCACTGTGTTCCAGTTTGGTTGCGCTCTTCATTGATCTGGAGAAGTTTGCTGTCCTGAGGACGGTTGCCGTCAGTTTCAAGATAATTGCCCTCTTCCCAGGTTGTCAATAACCAACAATCAATGAGTAATCACTGTTCACCAACCAGTTACCAATAATTAGTGATCAATCTCCACCTCTTCTTTAGGTGTGAGGATGAAGTTCTGCACCCTGATCCATTCAGTCACACGTCTTGGTCCTGTGTTCTTGTTATTGGTCCTGGTTCTTGCGTTCTTGTCTCTGATTGGTAACCTTTACTTTATGGGCTCGCTGAGGAACAAATGTGTAAAGGCCCCATGGCTCGGCAACGTTTCTGATGACATTTACCAGGATGAATTTGATTACAAAACCTTCATCAACACACCAGGTACTTCCTGTCTGTGAAACAGAGAATCTGTACTTCCTATCTACCTGTTGTACTTCCTGTCTGTGAAACGGAGAATCTGTACTTCCTGTCTACCTGTTGTACTTCCTGTCTGTGAAACCGAGAATCTGTACTTCCTGTCTACCTGTTGTATTTCCTGTCTGTGAAACAGAGAATCTGTACTTCCTATCTACCTGTTGTACTTCCTGTCTGTGAAACAGAGAATCTGCACTTCCTGTTTACCTGTTGTACTGTCTGTCTGTGAAACAGAGAATCTGTACTTCCTGTCTACCTGTTGTATTTCCTGTCTGTGAAACAGAGAATCTGTACTTCCTGTCTACCTGGTGTACTTCCTGTCTGTGAAACAGAGAATCTGTTCTTCCTGTCTACCTGTTGTACTTCCTGTCTGTGAAACCGAGAATCTGTACTTCCTGTCTACCTGTTGTACTTCCTGTCTGTGAAACAGAGAATCTGTACTTCCTGTCTTCCTGTTGTACTTCCTGGCTGTGAAACAGAGAATCTGTACTTCCTGTCTTCCTGTTGTACTTCCTGGCTGTGAAACAGAGAATCTGTACTTCCTGTCTTCCTGTTGTACTTCCTGGCTGTGAAACAGAGAATCTGTACTTCCTGTCTTCCTGTTGTACTTCCTGGCTGTGAAACAGAGAATCTGTACTTCCTGTCTACCTGGTGTACTTCCTGTCTGTGAAACAGAGAATCTGCACTTCCTGTTTACCTGTTGTACTGTCTGTTTGTGTTACAGAGAACCACCTCAGAGATATCAATCATGAGGCTTATCTTTGTGGAAATGCATCGGGCGCAAGGTATGACATCACTGTGACATCATGTGTAGCAGAACCTTCAGTTTTTCTGGGCTCACAGGTTTGGGTGTCTTTCTGGTCCAGGTCTTGTCCTTCTGGTTCTGTGTGTCTGAAAACTGAGTACAACCCAAATGTCCTCAGCTCCTTTGACTCCTTCCCCTGGTCTCTGCTGAGTCTCACCAGGATCATGACCAAGGATGCGTGGGAGTTCCTCTTCCATCAGGTATTTCTAACTGCAAACTCTCTCTCTCTCTCACTCCTGTCAAAATGTTCATCCTCTGTAACCCCCTACCCCGCCCCCCATCTTTTTCAGATACTGTACACAGAGGGGCACACCCCCCTCCTCTTCTTCTTCCTCCTTGTTCTTCCTGTCTGCTTCCTCTTCTTTAGCCTGTTTGTGGTGGTGGTTGCCATGGAGACCGCGTGTCAGTTCAGAGCTGCGGACGCCCAGGCCAAAAGTCTGGAGGAGGAGTTTGATCAGATTGTGGAGGCGACAGCGATACCAGAGGTGGAGGAGGTGGAGGAGGTGCGCCCGAATAAATTTACTGCTGCAGCATTGAACATTCACTAACTTACCCTTACTAACTAGTCATTACTAACCAACCATTTCTTTTAGTCATCTCTAACTAATCAATCATTGGGTTTTGTTTAATTTTACATTACCCAATAATAATCCTGCTCTGTGAGACAACCCACTGATTAACTAGACCATTGTTTCCCAAAGACTGGGTCATGACCCTCAGGTGGGTCGCAAGTTGTTTTTTTTTTTGGGGACCTTGCATCGGGTTTCCCAGGAGTTTACGGATAATGTCTAGTGTAAAATATGGGCCCCCAGAAAATAAGGACCAGAACTCCAGTAACCACAGACAGCGGTAATCTCTAACTAACCATCATTAACTCATCTCTGCTAAAACAAAACACCTCACTAACCTACCATAACTTACTAGTGTGTGTGTGTGTGTGTGTGTGTGTTCCACAGAAGAATGGCTCCGAGAAGAAGAAACACTGTCCAGGTACACACATCAAATCAAGTTTGAAGGACTGTGGTCATGTGACCATGGTCTGGTTTCAGAACATCAATGTGTCACTCAGTGGAACCCGGTTCTCTAGTCTCAGATTCATTTTCCTGGGGTCCAATCTAGTTGGCGTTGTTGCCTCCAGACCTGTTAAAATAAAAGATCTAAAAATGTTCTCGTAGTTTTACTTTCAAGAGTTGGAGCCCTTCGTTAGGGCTGCTGGTA